CTTCCTTGGTGAGACGGGAGTGAGTAATTAGTCTGAATACTTAGCTATACTTTAAAGGTAGAAGAATACAAAAAAGAAGAAAGAAAGATCGAAGTTACCATTGATAACACAAAGTTGTACAAGGGAAGGAAAGTCCTGCTAAATAATTAATGCAGGTACTCCTAAATTTTAAAAAGCTTGCAAAACAGGCATAAACGCAAGCTGACTGAGCTTTATTTGGCACTTCAAAAACTAAAAATAGCTCTAGTTTTTTACAAAAACCTTCTCCTAAGGTAGAAAATAGTATGCTATATCAGCCGAAGTGTTGCAAGTTCTTTTTTTCTTTTCTTTCTATTTTAGTTAAGAAATGTTAAGAAAATGGATCTTGGGCATAACTTAATCCCAAAGGCTAACTCGAAAGGTGAGGATTGACCAAGACTGCATAAGGAGACAAAACTCATTCCCTCAACCAATGTGGGGCACTCTAACATCCTTCCCCCTCCCCCCACTGCTTAGAACTGGACATCTGGAGCTTGGACAACATAACATGAGGCCGCACACTGGAAAACACCATAAGGGGGATACGTCTGGCTCTGCTTCCATGTTAAGAAAATTGACATTAGGCTTAACTCAATCTCAAAAGCTAACTCAAGGATTTGCTCAAGACCATATACTAGACAACAACCAATTCCCTCTACCATTGTAATACACTCTAATAAGAAAAATCCGATCTGTATTCTCGTGGCATTTTTATGTCCTGAAATAGAAGGAAGAAGCATGCCACTAATGTGGTTCAAAGCTTCTCTCCTTTTAGTCTAAGCAAACCCCTCATGTTTCTTCAGGCATATAGCTGGCTGGCAGTTCTACCCTTTCATTTGTTATATCAACGGGTTTGCTAAATATTGAGGGATTGATTAAACATGTTTTCTAGCAAATAATAACTGGTTTGTTCTGTTGGTAATGTAAGGTTTAAGCAATAGCAAATAAAGCAATAGCAATTGTCCAAAATATCATGGCAAACTCAAAACTGGAGAGATGCTGGCAGCTTAACTTTAAAGTATGATCCTAAGCTATGAGAGAGAGAAGTCTTAGAGGAGGAAATGACCATGTGAAGGATTTGGAATGCAAGCCAGTTCCTTTTTTTATGATTAGGCAATATGTGGTGGGAAAAAGCCCCAATATACAACTGGTATACAAAAATTGGACCTACACGAAAACACAGTTCTCCATAAAATGCACCCAATCATCCATGCTAACAGGAACCTCGGATGCTTCCAAAACTCAACAAAAAGTCAAAAAAAAAATATTTGTCCTAATCTTTGCAAGAATATTCTCTAACCCCTCAAACACTCAACTAAGATGAATCAGCTCTACTTAGGAAAACTGTACGCATTTTCCTTCTGGTGAGAAGTGTTTATTTTCGGAGGACTCTGAAGAAGTTTTCATGTTTTATGCTATTGATATCATAAGATGTATTCTCTTGAATAACCAATACTATGAAGAGTTGGTTATATCTGATTTATCCAAAGAATTGACTGTTGATTATTTCTTTTCAGATTTTGGCTGATAACCTTATTGAGCATCTGCCTGTGAACCTAGGATTGCTTCAGTCTTTGAAAGTTGCAACACTTGATGGGAATCAAATCACAACCTTGCCTGATGAACGTAATTCTCCGCGATTCTAGATCATATGTGAAGTTTAGTAGATGTCTCTGCTATATATATTTACAGTCTCTATTCTAGTAACAGAATGCTCTTGTATTCAGTGGGCCAGTTGGTGAAGCTTGAGCGTTTATCTGTCTCAGCAAACTTGTTAATGAGCTTGCCTGAGACAATTGGGAGCTTGCGGAATGTAAGTGATCTATCCTGACAGTTTATATGGTGCCAGCTTATGCTGTTACGCAGTTCTATATAGGTGCTAGTTGAAATATTATTTTTGCACTGGCTGTACTGCATTGTTCAATGTTATATACAATGATGCTAAGGTGGCTAAAGAAATGGTGTCAATCTTGTTTATTATAGAACTATTCAGCAAATTGATATTCAAATTAATGAGCTTCTTATCACTTGTTAGTAGAGAACTGTTCAGCAAATTGATTTCCAAATTAACGAACTTTTTGTTCTTGCAACTGGAAGCTCAAGTTTTTTCTCAATTTACATAGTGATTCCACTTCACTGTGAATTTCTATTCTCCTCTTGGTAGTTAATGATGTCGCTCGGCTATCTTGTGCTTGTATTTTGGTTTTGGAAGAAGATCCTCGAGCTCCCTGGGGAGGGTGGTGGACTTTGGAGAATAAGCGTCTCTTTGCGGGTTGTCTTGAGGTCCACCACACTGAGTGCCTTTATTTTCTCCTTTTTAATTCCCTCTGACTTCACATTGAAATTTATTCTCCATAAGTTTTTCCTATGTCATTGATAACCGAGAAATGTAAAACAGTGTTCACTACACTCTGACGAAAGCCACTTTGGAGAAGATAGGTACTAAACCGTTGAAAGACTTGTTGTTCTTTTTCTGATTCTCGTGCGCGGTGACTTGGGATGATGAGCTAAGGTCTTTCAATCAAGTTAACTGCTCTATTTCCTCTGGAAGTGGATACCCTTCTAAAAGGTTGCATATAATTATTCTATAGATGTTCTCTATATATGAGTTCAGTTCTATGTGATGATGTTGTTTTTCTGTCTCTCTGAGAAGGGCGCACTACCTAGACTCAAGTATTCTCAATTCATCTTATTTGAGAGCATAAGGCTGTAAAATTGACATTGATGTTTTGGCCATGCAGTTGGTGCTGTTGGATGTTTCAAACAATAAGTTAAAGTTTCTTCCTGAATCTATTGGAAGTTGCTTCTCTTTGGAAGAATTGCAAGCTAATGGTACCTTCAGATTTTAGCTCGCCTATTATCTGATTCTTGCTATTTCTATATTTCGTTTGCTTTCCTGGTGCTGGAGCTTCATGTCCAATATATGTTGAGGGATAAAGTACCAAAACGAAACAAGAACAAAAGATGCATCCTTAATTAAAAAAACAATCGAGATAAAATTAAGTGAAAGTCATGACCGATAATGAAATTGGGAGCGTGGTGGGTGACCTAGAAAGTCAAGGAATATCCACAACTCTATTTTGTTAAGCTTGTAAAACACTAGTATTGGTACCATTCATTTATATTCTTACATGATTTAAGGTTCTATTTTTCCTCAGAGTGCCAAATAAGGTTTTTACTGATTTTTCTGCGGTCTTGCTTATGAATAACAACTTTGTGCCACAGATAATTCTATTGAAGAGCTTCCTGCTTCAGTTTGCAATCTTGTTCAATTAAAGTCACTCTGCCTGAACAATAACAATCTCAATCAGGTTATCATCTCTCTCTCTCTCTCTCTCTCTCTTCATCACAGATAAATAAGTGCAACGCATTGTAACCCATGTGGATAAAAGGTTTAACTGTTTGTCTCACTGAATAGCTAGATCTGATGTCGTATATACTAGATATTTTCTGATGATGCTTGAAGTGTGCTCTCTCTCTCTCTCTCTCTCTCTCTCTCTCTCTCTTAATATCTAAGGATGCTATTAAGCAGAGTTAAGAACCCTCTTCGCACTATCTATATACGTAAATGCTCCCACTGCTGCTCTGTGTATCGGCGCAAAAAGAAACATGCACAACGTATCTAACTTATACAATGACCATAATGTGAAATCTAGGTCTCTTCATTGTACAAGATTATCCACATTTGTGGTCATGGATTGAACTTCTAACAGTCTCTCCCATTTAAAGCATTATCATCCAAGTTTTTGCACTCGTTCCTGTCAGATATATGTTTTTTACAAAATTCTCATGGTTGCTATTGGTACCTGGGTTACTCAGATGCCTCTAAATTTGTTAAGAGAATGCAAGAGCTTGCAGAACATAGCACTGCACAGAAATCCCATTTCCATGGACCAATTTCAACAGGTTTTCACTCAGTATTGTTCACAGATTGATACTACTCAGTCATGTTAATCCTGGAAAAGTCATTTACAGATGATTCTATTTACTTATTTATTTCAGATGGAAGGCTTCAAGGAATTTGAAGCCCGCCGTAAACAGAAGTTTGATAAACAAATTGATTCAAATGTGATAATCAGTTCTAAAGGGCTTGATGAGGGTGTTGACTTGTGATTCCTCTCCACATGCAATTTTTGTAAGGTTTCCGCTCATCTTGGTTTTACTGTTTTTTACTTCCAATTCCTTGGTAGAAACTTCCCCTTATGGTATAACCATGCAGTAGCTACATTACACAATGTTGCTCCTTCCGTTGGCATCAAACTTTTAGTATTCTAGTGTCTTTAATGCCTAATTTTGACAAGTCATTCTTGTCGACCGATAGAACTACATGCATGTCTTCATTACTTTCTCTTACCTCCCAGCCTGGTGTGCCTGGAAAGTTGCCTCTTCTCATTTACGTCCCAGGCTTATAGCTTGTACTATTTGCCATTATATTCGTGCCACTAAGTGTGTATATTTTTGGGAACTTGTTAGTGATTTCGATTTCAAAAGATGGAAAATGATAAGAATTTATGATATAATGCCATGGTTGCATGATAATTTTGTCCATCAAGTTTCTGAATCTGATTGATTTTCGTTGCAAAAGAGATTCCACGAGATGCTAGATCAATAATCTTCTAAAACTTCCCATTCAAATTGCTACAATTGACGATACTGATTTTTTTATAATGATATCTCTGCAGGTTAACTTTGCGTCTTGCGGTTGGATGGCATTGTGACAGCTTTGACTTTGATGAAAGGCGATTGCTTGTGCTGCCTTACATGAGTCATTGTCAAGCCCTTCTGTTGTTTATCATGGATTGTCAGCTTTGACTTGTGCGTAATTGTATCTATGCTGAGTTACAGTAATTGTAAATGATATGCAGACCTAAAGATTTCCTTTACCATTTTGATAATACATATTCATTGAGCTGTATATCATCACTCAAAACCTTGTATATAGGTGCCAAGTTTGTAGAACCTAAATGTATCCACGAATGTAGTCTAGTGGTCAATGAAGTGGTTAAAAACCTTAGTAAAAGACCACGTCTTTTTTAAAATTTCGATTACATAAGGGGGTTGGGGAAGGGGAGGGGAAAGAGGGTAGTGTAGATCAAAACCCACACCTATTGTGTGTTAGACTTTCATGGTTCCGGTAGAGTAATAAATTATAAGTCTTGGTGGATAGAGTTATTCAGTAGCTGTGATGGGAGGTAACAAGTATCCGGTTAAAATAGTTAAAGTGTATAAGTTGGTTTAGGCACAAAAGTTATCAAAGAAGAAAAGGATTGTCCTTTTGATATTTATATTATGTGGTGAAGTCACCTATGCAGCCAATAAAAGGATAAGCTTTAAGTTCTATATATTTGGTAGATAAATCTAATATATCGGCATTTTTAGAGTAAAGTATACCGGCTCGAACAATTTTAATAATCCAGTTGGTTGGCAATTTGAACTCAGCTTATTGATGAAGGTTCGATACAAGTCGTTACATACTATTATGATTGTAGTACAAGTTACCATAACTTTGGAAAAAAATATTCACTAATATTGACGGAATGTAACAAGTTCTAATGGATACAAAACTTGCTTTGTCATAATTTGATGAATTGTCATGACTAGTACAAACTGTCTTTAACTTTGGTAAAAATTGTTCACTATTCACTACCCACTACTAGCATTTGTAAATGCAACAATAATTATATTCCTACCTACGTGTAAAAAAATGAAGAGATAGACTATAATTATTACAAAGTTGTTAATACGATCGTTATAATTTACATGTGTAGAAATTTCATTTCTTGCTTCAAAATTGCTCAAAATTCAATCCAAACCTTTAAGAATCAATAGTCTCTTTGTCTTTAATAATGGTATTTTAAAAAAAAAAAAATTCAATTGAAACATTTGAGTTTACTTTTTAATTTTTATTTTTATTTGTTGTTGCGCAGACTTTCAGAGTGGAAGTGAACAAATCAGTTTCAAACTCTTAGCCAACAGAATCCAGCCTCGTCTCTTATTTGACTTATTGACTAACCAATTTGCCTAAATAAAATCACCGTTCGGTGCAGCCACTATATAACCATAGGGTATTTGGCGTAATTAGCTGTAATTACCGAACCCCTTTTTGACCACCCGCATTACTATTTTCCAACAATAGACTTCGTTAACCCTAGCTTTACCTTTTTCATCGCCGACAAATTCAATTTTTCCCCCAATTCCAAAACCTACCTCCTTTCTCCCTTAAACCCACCTGGATTTTTCCTCTATTTCTTCAAATCAATCTCCGATTCTTCTAATTCTTTTCTTCCTTTATCGATCGATACCTTTTTTGGCTTTGGCCGTTGCGAAAATTGAATTCCCAAGTTAGGGTTTCAGATCTGTTTTATATTCACCAGATCTGTTCTATTCCTCCTTGATTTTTTTGTAAATTAATCATTTTTTACTAGGTAATTCTTTTGTTTTTCTCCTTCGATTTCTCTTGATTTTTTCAAAAACTAAAAAAACCGATTTTTTCTATAAATAGTTTGTGATTTAGGGTTTCTTCTTTAATCGTTCTCTTTTTTGTTTAGTTTATTGATACCCAGAATTAATTTCTGGTTGATTTTATTATTTTGCTTTTGATGGAAGCATAGAGTCTAAATTGGGGATCTAGGGTTAGGGTTTTTATTATATTATAATTTATCCCTTTTTCTCTCAATTTTTTTTCAATAAAAACAAAATATTTCATCCTAATTTCTGTTTATATTTTAAAATTATAATTTTGCCCTAATTGAAAAAAAAAAATCTGCCTGCTCAATTTGACCAAGACGCTTCACAATTAAGGTACTTGAGCTGTGCCAAATAGTATTGGCATTCTTTAAGAAATAGTTTATTTTGTTTGATTCTTCTATATGATTAGACAAATATTAGTTTCTCTTCAATTTTTTTTTTTTCACTTTTAAGGGTCAAATAATAAGATAACCATTTTAATGTCATTCTAATTTTTCGAACAAAGGACGTGGACTCACTACATGTCACTAATAGAAATTTTAGAATGACTTCTTAACTGGCTGAGCTCAATTATTCTTATTGACATAGTTGTTGATAGTTAAATTACTGTTATCATGGCATAATATGCACTGTTAATGGAGAATTTTAGTTAGTGTTCTTTTTGGCTATGCAATATGGTGTTACGTTTAATGGAAAATGCTCAATGCTGTGCATGACTATGGCTTCAACATGTTTTTTCCTCTAGTGTTTGCTAATTGTCTTTTTTGAGGGATAAATTTGCACTTATATAGCATTTAAATTTCTGGATGTATTATGCAATTATGGTTACATGTTTTTTCGAATGTGTGGAACAACATTTTATTCTTAGGTCTTCTCCAAATTCAGTATCTTATTAAAAACTCCCTTTACAGTTAAATATGGTGCAAAAGAGGCCATTTGGTGAAGATTTGTATGAGGTTTCATCAAAGCAGCCAAGGCATGTAGAACCGAACAGTCAGCTAGTTTCAGTTTTGGACTTTTCTCCTCATGAATCAGTGGCTATGAAGCCTTATGCTTCAGGTAAAGGAGTGATTCTTCAAGAAGCATTTTTGCTAGCGTGTTTGTTGACTATTTGCGATGCTTTTATTTATTGATAGTTTTGTTGTTAATTCACATTATTTGAATACTTTGAAAAGTTTTATTCTAGTTTGTCAGATAGGCCTGCACTTTTAGTTGCAGACTTTGGATATAAATGGTTTTTGGATACTTTATCCGTTGTCTGATTCTTTGGTTATGAACTGTCCCATATCTATAATAGGCGGAGATGAAGATAGTGCCAAGAAACCTGATAGCGGCAATGCTGCTGAAATTTCCATTTTTCCTGATCAAGATACTGAGACATCCATTGATGGCTCTGCTTCGAACTCTTCTTGGCCCATTAGTAGCATTAGTGAAGAAGAAATCAGGTTCGAGGTGCCTTTTGACACATTGAGCTCTCCGGAATATTATCTTCCATCCAGGACTATTACTCATCCAAGGGAAGCATACTTCTCTCTTTTGAGAAATTCTCCTCAAAAGTTAGTTCCTATCGGACCAGATTTCCAAGCCGAATTGCCAGAATGGGGTGGGCATGGTAGTAAGGATAAACCAATCATGCAGGATTCACATGAGAACATGAATCTTCCATCTCAAGCTCTAGAATCAGATCGTGTTGATCATTTTTCTGATGAAAATAAACTTGCTGGGACGTGTATTGTTCCAATGCGTAACATGGAGTTACCTGCAGTCCAAGAGGAGATTGCTGGAGTGGGAAGAGCCGAATGCTCTTGTGAGGACGCAGGTTCCATGAGATGTGTTCGACTACACATCATGGAAGCCAGAGAAAAACTTAAGATATCCCTTGGTGAGGAGACATTTGTTAGGCTGGGTGTCTGTGATATGGGAGAGGTAGTGACAGAGAAATGGTGTGAAGAGGAAGAGGACTTATTTCATGAGGCTGTATTCTCAAATCCTGCTTCTTTAGGCCGAGATTTCTGGAACAATCTTGCTATTGAATTTCCCTCACGTTCCAGGAGGGAACTTGTCAGCTATTACTTTAACGTCTTTATTTTGCGAAAACGTGCCAAGCAGAACAGATTTGACCCGTCCAACGTCGATAGTGATAATGATGAATGGCAGGAGATTGATGACACTGCTGATGACGAAGATAAAATGACGGACGAAGATGAGGATTCTGTGGTAGAATCACCAGAATATCAAAATGATTTTGGCCGCAATGTGATTTATGAGGATGATAAACAGGCATATGACGGGAATGTTGGTGTCACGACCTGGGAAGTCTATAAACCTGTAGGCTTTGGTAGCAAGGTGTTCACTGATATATCCGCAGAATGCCCTGATAAGTTATTTGATACTAACAGCGGTTTTACATCCAGTATTCAGCACCTAGGCAGAGGCGTTTCAAATGAAGCGGGTCACTATGATGGCTCCCATACGCGTGATGCACCTGGGGTTGCTCCAGAAGCAACTCTTGGAAGGACTGTCAATGGTAGACATTGGGCAAGTGATTTTGCCAGTATTAGCCATGACAGTGGGCATGACTTTGTGTTGGGACCGTGCAGCACTAAAGAATGGGATATCGGGTATTTGAGCTGTGCCAAGAGTGAAGTTGACTTATTACCAACCCACACTATGATTGAAGAAGTCTTTGGAGATGGAGCCTGGAGTTACAAGAGCAGAGATGGTCACGGCTTAAGCTAAGTTTTGCTAAAGTTACACCAATGTCGTCATCTGAACTTCCTGAAGACGCTTCTTGCTGAGTATACACATTCCTATTTTTCTTGTATATCGTAATGATGGAAGGAGGAAATTTTTACTCAGATGTAAAAAATTATTTTGCAGGGGTATTACATGAGCTGAGGTATGCTTGGCTTATTTCAATCTGTACAGTTGCTATTATTTCTTTATTTAGCACCAATCCGTGTTTCTGTAGAGGAACTGCTTTGAGTTTTGACTTATGGTAGGCGCTTAGGATTTGTGTAAATACAAATTATGGTATGACCAAACTATCCAAAATGGAAAAATCTCTTAAATTTATGGGATTTGAGTATATACGCCGACTTTGTAAAGAATTTTATATTATTAGTGTAGTTTAATCAATTATAGCAGCAGGTTGGTTATCATTTTTGTTAGGTTACAGAATAATGCTTACTTTTTTAGGGATAATGGACCTGATGGTGTATAGTTTCGACAACTTCTGATGAGCAGATCTTGAACTCGCTGTTAAATGTATTAAATTGCACATTGCTCCATTGTTTGTTACATTTACTTGTGTTTTCCTCCTGAGGTTCTAACTCCTGTATAAAGGAGAAAATTTCAGGCCTGGCATTTAGAGTTCAAATTTTTGCCACCAAAACGTCATGGCAAATAATCATATATAACTTGCAAATGTATAATATATGTTTAATCATGTGTATAAGTGTATAATTTATATATATTAGAAAAAATAACGATGAATCTAGCCAACTAATTTTATCCAGCATTTAGTGGATTTAATTCTTTCGATTTCTAATTTGATGCCACAAAATTGAGAAGAAACCAAACACCTGATTAGTTAATTGCTAATAGTTTTAACTCACCCCAAATCCACAAAAAAAGGACAGTTATAAAATCATCAAGATACTTTGATATGATCTTTCAATCGCATCATTAAGTTGAGGGTTGGTAATCTACAATTCGTTTAGTGGAAATTACTTTCTATGTTTTTCGACTGTCAATTCAAATGCCACCGACTAAATATTAGATTCGAATGAGACAAATGATAACATGACATTTTTATTCCACGTATTCTTTTATCACCTAACTATAGTTAACTAATGTACATTTTCACCTCCTTTAATATTTAATCATGGTCAAATGCATTGGTTTAATATAAGTACCCAATGAAAATTTCCCTTAAGATGAGGTGGTCCAATCTACTTAATCTTCCTTTTTAGTTGTGCTAACTTTTCAAGTTATGCATTGCAGAGTAGACTATAATTAAAAAAAAACTATGATTAAAAAAAAAACTATAATTAAAAAAAACAAAAAAGAAATACTGATATGAGTTGTCATGTTTCTATGGTAGGTGACTATTCAACCATGAACCACCTTTGAGTTCACTGCTAATCTTTGTTTATACCATAAAAATGCAATTTCTCTTCTTCATTGCTTGATGCTCTAGTGTCAACACCTCACTCATTTCCCTTCTACACCAAGAAAAGGATAAAGGAAAATTATTATACCAGAAAAAGTTTACCCTTCAGAGCCCAAGTCTAGCTCAAGTAGAAGCTAAAAGCCTAAAATGTATTGAAAAAGAAAATTAAATAGAAAAGAAGCTTATCTAAAAAAGATCAAAAATTTCAATCTCTAACTGAAAATGGTTGCTCCGTAGCTCATGGAGCAACGGTGTGACTTATAAGTCACGAGTTCGAGCCGTGGAAGCAGCCATTAATACTTGCATTAGGGTAAGTTGTCTCTCACACCCCTTGAAATGCGACCCTTCTGCTGACTCTGCGTGAATGCGGGATGCCTTGTGCACCAGACTGTCATTTTTTTAAATATTTTCTTATTATAAGGGGGAGGGGAAGGTGAAATAGGGATGGTATTACAAGGTGGAAAATCGAACCCCCACCAACAGGGTGGTAGTTTAGGTAGTTAACTAACTGAGCTACTAAGATTTCCGAGCCAAATGGAGATGCTGTTGTGAATTGAACACTTCAATTATGTAAAGAATTAATGAATCTATACACTTGTGAAAACTTGGATCAGTTAAGAGATTAAGTCAACTAGTTGCTCATGTTTGTGACTACTTCCAATCCACCATGATTGAAACTCAATATGCTCATTGCTCTCTTTTTCAACAGGAGCAGGCATGTTAAGATCCAAGAAATATCTGATTTCTGTATTGGTTTATGTATTTCAACAGCTTGAATATTTTGCTTTTGGCTTCAGCAATTAAGTGGGGTCTTTTGTGACCACCTAAAGCTTGACCTGATTGGAAAATCTTGAAGCAAATTGGACACTCATGTCCCTTTTTCTTCTTGATAAATTCACCATCCTTACATTTGGACCTCTTGTTCCCATTTATATCAGTTTGTAGATGTGATTGAGTTGAAGGGAGCCTTGGAGTAACTGGTAAAATTGCTGCCATGTGACCAGGAGGTCACGGGTTTAAGCAATGGAAACAACCTCTTGCAGAAATGCAGAGTAAGACCGTGTACAATAGACCCTTCTGGTCCGGGCTTTCCTCGAACCCCACGCATATCGGGAGCTTAGTGCACTGGGCTGATTTTAGTACACGTGATTGACTCGGCGATCGAGCTTGCTGAGACTGATAATTTCCTTCATTTCTTGAAAACATTATCAAGCTCATAGCAACATCCCCTTGTTCTTGCTCAAACTCAGAATTATTTGTAGGAAAAGTTAAAGTAGAGGAAGTTTTTTTTGATGATCTTTTCTTCTTATTTGGTGGTGGTGCTGCTTCACTATCAGAATATTGGCTATTCCAAGAATCTTCTTCTACACTATTTTTTGATGGGATTCTAGTTGAGTGACATTCTTGTGCCGAGGGTCTATCGGAAACAATCTTTCTACCTCCCCGGGTAGGGGTAAGGTCTGTGTATACACTACCCTCCTCAGACCCCACTTGTGCAATTATACTGAGTTGTTGTTGTTGTTGTTGTTGTTGTAGTATTCTAGTTGAGCGGCATTTCATGTGGCCAAATAATGCTTTCCAACATGAGAAACTTTTGCTACATTCTTTGCAAATTTTGTTCTGATTGGTAAGTAAAGTATCTTCACTTGACTCTGCTAGCTTTGAAATCTTCTTTTTGGTATGCTTTTCATCAGCTGAATTAATGAAATGAGACCTCATATGACCTCCCAAGGATCTTCCACATGGAAAACTTTTGTTACACAATTTGTATGCATGTTTTTGTTCTTGATCTTCTCCCGTTGAAATTGAGTTCTAAAAAATAAATAAATCAAAGAAACAAGAATTGGATCAGATGATCAAGAAAAAGTCCAATTTTTTTACTAGTGTTCCTTACAAGCTCAACTATGCTAAAACTTTGTATGTCATTTTACTATACTAACAAGAAAACTCTAACAAAATAGAGTAAGGCCCAAGAAACACGATCAAGAAGCTGAAAATCTGAAATCTGAAGTGGGAATTCAGGAATCTGAATTGTAAGCTGATCAAAGAATTAAAATCTTGATCAAGAACAAGATCTGATAAGCAAGAAAAAGACACGTTAAGTAGCTGGTGCAGGATCAAACAACAACAACAATATATCAAATTTGATCATGCAAATGGGGTCAGAGGAGGGTAAGGTGTATACAGACATGACCACTACCTTTGTATGAGATAGATGGACATTTTCTAATAGACCTTTGACTCAAGAAAAGTGTTTTCAAAACAGGTTTGAAAAATAAGGAGTAAAATACTATCATGAAAAGGGAATTTTCTCCTCACTCACTCTGTTACTGAGCCACTAGCTTAGCTCTTTAGGTAAATGAAATATAAATAAAACATCCTAATTTGTAGGGCCAGAGAGTACTCAGTTACCTTTGTTGCTAATGATGAGGATGAACACACATACAAAGACTCTCTCTCTTATGTTTCTCTGTCTAAAAAACTATATTTGGAATTAGGAGGAGGAGATATCCATGCATGGAAGCAAAGATAAAAAGAGAGAAAAAGGTAAATGGTAGTAGTATGTTATGGCTTGAATCAATTAAGCAATTTATCGAATAGTTAGGAGAATCAGAAATGGAAACTGGAAGTCTTTATTCAATATCAATTGAAAGTATTCACCATTATTACATGTAGTCACTGAAAATGAATAATGAGAATTAGGAGAATCGTAGAAGAAGAAGAATCTAAAAGAAGAGAGAAGAGAGAGAGTGGTTAGAAGCGTAACAAAATTAACATAATAATTTCCTCCCTTTCACTACCTAACTCTTAGTATTTATTCACATTAAGCTTGGGCTAAATAAGTGGCTGTTAATATTGGGCTTCCCGCTTTGGCCCAATTCCCTGTCTGTCTCACGTGGCCCAGTCCACTCTTTTATTAATCTCTACTCTTACCTACCATCGATCACTTTCCCATTTCAACCTACTTTGCCAATTCATAACATCCCCCATCCCTTAGAGAATATCATTGTCCTCAAGGTCGATGTTGAGCCACAAAATTAGGAAAGTGATGCTTGATATACCCCCAATCTTTCCATGTAGCATCCTCCTCCCTAAGATTTGCCCACTGAACCAACACTTTAACTCCCACGCCATTATCAATCTTCACCATTTTTTATTGTAATATGGCCACTGGTTGAATCAACACCCGACCGTTAGTATCACACGATGGTGGCTGAAGCTGAGGCTCGATAGTTGGACCGATTCTCTTATTGAGTTGAGAGACGTGGAAGACTGGATAAATTTGAGAGCTTTCAGGAAGCTCTAAGAGGTATTCTAATGTTCCCACTTTCTTCAATATCTTATAAGGACCATAATAACGAGAACACAACTTAACATTTATGCAAACCTCGATCGATGATTGTCTATACGGATGTAGCTTAAGATAGACTTTGTCCCCAACCACTAGGGTTCTTTCCGACCTAGATCTGTCCACAAAGAATTTCATGTGTGACTGTGCTCGAGTTAGGTTGCCCTTAAGTGTCTGCATCATGTATTGTCTTTGGGCTAGACTCACACTTGCCATAGTCTGCCCAGAACTTGGTAATGATCCCATTGGTAGCTAGGGTGGTGCATACCCATATAATGCTTCAAAAGGTGTGACCTTTAGAGCAATGTGGTAGTTGGTGTTGTACCACACTCTTCCATGTGAAGCCACTTAATCCATTGCTTAGGATTATCAAAAACCATGGCCGTAAGTTTCCATACACCCGTTGAGCCTCTCTGTTTGGCCATCACTCTGAGGGTGATAAGCTAAACACAAATTGAGTTTGGTGTCATGGATCTGAAAAGGTACTGCCAAAAGTGACTAGTGAAAACTGGATCCCTGTCAGACACTAAGGACCTAGGAATACCATGCACTCTATAAATTTCCTTGAGAAATAATTCTGCTACATCCTGCGCTGTAAAGAGATGTTTAAGAGGCAGAAAGTGACCATACTTAGTGAATCTATCAACCACCACCAAAACTGCATTCTTCTGATTTGAAGTAGGTAATCCTTCTACAAAATCCATATAAATGTCGTGCCATGCTTGCTCAGGAATAGGAAGAGGCTGTAGTAATCCAGGATAGTGAACATTCTCTGATTTCACCCTTTGACATATATGACACTCACTGACCCATTTACAACTGTCTGACTTCATATTTTGCCAATAAAAATTCATCTGTAACCTCTTATAAGTACCTTGTTGCCCTGAGTGACCTCCCAATGGTGATTGATGCAATGCTTCCCACTCTTCTTCTCAATGTGTTACCCTTTCCTATATATATCTTTTGTTTGTACTTGATTATTCCCCAGTGTAGTGTGTAGTCAGAATTACCATGAGATGTTCTTATTAACTCAGCCAATAGGTGAGTAGCCAAAGGATCATCTTCATAGGATTGGCTAACTTCTTCTAGCCAAGCAGGATGTGTAGTGGAAATAACCAATAAGGTAGAATTAGCAGTTTCTTCTTATCTCCTGGATAGAGCATCAACTGCTATATTTTCAGAACCCTTTTTGTACTGAATTTTATGGTCAAGTCCCAAGAGCTTAGTGAGACCCTTCTGTTATAGTACTGTGGTGACTTTATGCTCTAGTAGGTATTTTAGGCTTTCGGGATCTGTTCTCACAATGAAATGAACACATTATAAGTAGTGTCTCTATTTATCCACTGCTGTTAAGACTGTCATGTAATTTTTTTCATTGGTGGATAGTCCCTTATTCTTTGTGGACAAAGCCTTACTTAGATAATCTATAGGTCTGCCCTCTTGCATTAAAACAACTCCCATTTCTGTAGAGCATGTATCAATCTCTACAATAAAAGGTTTGGTGAAGTCTTGCAAGGCTAATACAGGTGCCGTGGACATGGCTTCCTTCAGCTTCTGAAAGGACTCCTCTGCCTCCTCATTCCATTGGAAGGAACTTTTCTTAAGTAGGTTGATCAGTGGTCTACTGATGCCATTGGACTTCACAAATATTCTATAGTAGCATGTAAGGCCCAGAAACCCCTTGAATGACTTGGGGGCAGACCAATTTATCATAGAGTCTATCTTGGCAGGATCAATTGCTACTCCTTGACAAGAAATAATATGGCTCAAATACTCCACTTTATCTTGTCCAAAGGCACACTTGGACAATTTAGCATAGAGTTTCTCCTTCTGTAAGACTTGTAGGACTTGTCTGAGGTGATCTACATGACTGCTCACTGTTGGACTGTAGACTAGTATGTCATCAAAGAATACTAGGATAAATTTTCTTAGAAAAGGTCTGAAAACATGGTTCATCAGGCTCTGAAAGGTTGCACGAGCATTTGTCAAGCCAAATGGCATGACTCTAAACTCATAATGGCCCAAATGTATCCTAAATGTAGTTTTATAAATGACAAAACTCTCCATTCTAATTTGATGATACCTAGACCTTCGATCAATCTTGGAATATATGTAGGATCCATTAAGTTCATCCATAAAATTATCTACTAAAGGAATAGGAAATTTATCCTTTATAGTCATCTTATTTAGCTCCCTATAATTAATACAGAACCTCCAACTCCCATCCTTCTTTTTAACTAGCAATACAGGTGAGGAAAAATGAAAATGACTCGGCTGAATAATTTCACTACTTAACATTTCATTGTCTTGCTTTTCTATTTTATTTTTCTTGAAGTAATTGTACCTATTAGGTCTGATACTCACTGTTGTTGCATCAGGTTTAAGGGGGATAAAATGATCATGGCTTTTTTGTGGTGGCAAGGACTTTGGCTCTTCAAACACATCTGAAAACTCCTCAAGTACTTCACTTATTCTTTTAGGTATGGCCACTTGTATTTCAGTAACCTTAGTAGTAGTTGTAAATAAATGAGCCCGCCCGCAACACCTTCCCTTTTCTAAGAAGGTGCTTCACTCCACCAGCTGTCATGCTATGGAGCTTACCTTCCTCAGAATATCCCTTAAGGTCCACCCTTTTTACCTTCACAATCACTTGTAGCCTGTATTCAATGAAATCAAATAGAATGGGATTATGCTTCCTCATCCAATCCACTCCTAAGACCACATCACACCCATCAATATCCGGTAATCTTAGCTTATGTTCAAAGTATATCCATTGAGTTTTCCAACTGAATTGAGGACAAGATTGGTAACTCATTAGATAGCCCTTATTTAGCCACAACTACTCTCATAGGTGTATCATCTTTAACTATGCATCCTAGGTATTTTACAGTCTCACTAGCTATAAAACTTTTGGTATTTCCACTGTCTGCTAAGATATTTGGCATCTTCTTCCCATACACCCCTCTAAGCTTTATGGTAGTAGAAGTTATTGTGCCAGAAAGTGCATTGGGACTGACGGCCTCATCCAGTATCTCCTTGATGGTAGGCTATAATTCCATATTTTATTCGCTTATTCCACTCTACTTTACTGCACTTTACTTATGTTGAGCTTTAATTATGCGTGTTTTGCACTTATTATGTGTTTTATGCACTATAGGAGTGATTCCGAGCTATGTAGATGTTATGGCATGGATTCATGCTATTTTGGAGTTTTGAATTTGAGTAATAACCCAAGGGTTAAGTTGGGATCGTGTTCGGGGATCAACGGATGATAGTGGAACGAAACGAAGAATCGAGCAGGTATATTGCGCAGTGTCCAGTAAAATACACATAACGTTTTTCTCGGAACTCCATTTGGGCTCCACAATATATCGTTGGAAATCTATTTAAAAGGGCTACAATCTTAATGTTTTACACTTTACCAACGTATATTGCGTGATCGTGCACTGGGTGCGCACTTAGGGCAGAATGGTGTGCAAAGTGCCCGACCAGGTGCGCGGTCGCACATGTCCTGTCTGGGAAAAGCCCTATTTCGCTAAGAAAGGGTAGTTTTGTCCGGGATTTATTTTAGGGGCAGATTAAATACCCCAAAATACCATTTTGAGGGAGTTTTGGACATACCTTAGACCTAGGGAAGCTTAGTAGAAGAAGGAGAAGCAAGAGCACAAGGATTTCATCCTTCCTTCCTCACTCAAATCCGGGTTTGGATTGTATTTATGTTTTCCTCTATTTTTGTTTTATTTGTGAAGAACTTCTCCATGTCTATGGAGCAGAACCATTTGGGTTTTGATGGATTTTGTGTATTGATGGTTGTTTGTGGATTATAACTCTATGTTTATGTATTTGAATTATTTTTGGAAGATTTAATTGTTGCATCTATGTTCATTTGTTCTTGTAATCGAAAGAGGCATAACTTGTGATATATTTGCACTATGTTGTTGGTTGAGTTCATATATTCTTCTAAGTAATCGAAAAAAGCTAGTTAAATCCTTGAATAAACCTAGTTAGGAGGATAATCGAAAGAGGTTCTCCTAAAGACCAATCCATTACGAATTCTTGCATATCTTCACCGAGCTTAAATTGGTTCATATTGTGAGGTTGAAACTTAATCGAGAGAGGAGTTTCTACTAAATATTTGTACTGATAATTAAGTGAATTTGAGAGACTCACTTGAACATTAGAAGTGAATTATCTAGAGTTAGATCCCGAATAATTATCTTGCACTTATCCTATCAACCTTTATTTTCTCTCATTGATAACTTCCTTTCTTACCTTTGTTGAGATTGTCATTAGTCAATAGTTTAGGTTCTTATTTAGTTTCAATTCTTAATTGTATAAATCTTCATTGTTGATCCTCCTGGATAGCAATCTATCTACAAACTAAGATATTACTGTTTAAATCCAATCCATGTGGAGACAATAATTATACTATACTATCTTTGACTAACGAGCATAATTTAAGTGTGTGCTTTGCGCTCGTCAAATTTTAGCGTCGTTGTCGGGGATTGGTAATTAATAGTGTTGGAAATAGTTTGTAGTGCTAATTCAGGAATTTATTTTTATCTTTACTTTATTTTTTTAGTTTTGTTATGTTAACTTCTCTTCAAGATTTCTTTTGTAGAAGAAATCTTGAAAAACATATTCTTGTTACTGAACTCTAAATGTTGTAAAGATGGAGTACGACCAGCCTAAAAAACGGTTGAAGAGTTAGCAGCTGAACACTGTCGTCAGTCTGCTATGTGTTTTAAATGCGGTGGGAATCATCTATGGGTTGATTGTCAAGCAGGTAGGTATTCTTCCTATGGTTCATCTTTTGAACACTCTCACTTCGTCTCTAGTCCGTACATGTATGAGGATTCATATGGGTAAATTCTAACTCTGGTTGGGATGAAAACCCTTATTTTGACTTGAATACAAGCGAAGCGAGACACCCACCTCAAGAGGAGAATGTTAGTTTAGAAGAGCTTATGTATAAGTTCATTAATAAGGTGGATGAGAGGTTAAAGGAAGAGAAGTTCACACATGATGTTGAAGCCTCTAACAACCTGACAATGCAAGTGGATCAACTAATAAGTATACTTTTAGAAAGGTCATTACATTGTAATGGTGAATACATGGAGGAGATACCTTGTGAGAATGAGCCTACCATAAATGATGAACATCTACAAAGAGAGTTGTCCACTCTGCAAGAGGACTCTGTTTCAACTGAAATGATTGAAAATGAGGCTTTGGTTGATTATGAAGCAATACAAGAAGAGTTCAATCCTCTATCCACAATTGCAATTTTTAGTAGAAGATAATGAGGAACAAATGGTGTTGGAATTTCCAGAGAAGTACTCACATGACCTTTCCTCTTCATTTTCTTACTCTAACCTTGATCACGTGGATTTTGTTTTGGGTGATTTATGGGAATAAGCAGGGATTGATTTTGTAAATGAATGCAGAATCAAGTTAAGGATAATCCTACAAGAATAATCCTTCGCTCAAAATGAGGCCAAGAAAGAAAGAAAAGAGCGGGTCTTTCAAAAATCCCTAAAGGACTTTGGCCTGATGAGCTCCATAAAGAATCCCGAGGAGCGAAATCAAAAAATGTATTGTGAATTAGGGGTGGAGTTCACAAGTTCTCGGAAACGGAAAAAGTCCAGAGAAGTTTCCTTTACCTCTTGTTTTTTATTTGTATGTCATGGGGATATTCCACAATTTAAAGTGTGGGGGTGGGATGTAAATATGTAAATAACTGTTTGTTTGTGTTTCTTGTGTGTGTTTTCAGTTCTTTTGATTGAAATTTTTAAAGTCGAAAAAAATATATATATTATTTTCTTTGTGTCGCAGTTCTTTTTTAAGGGTTTTGTTTGAACCAGGTGTAGTTAGTTTTATTTTCTTTTCTTTTAGGAGTAGGAGATCTTGTGCTGTGATTTTAAATGCAAGCAATATCTCTTGACTGCATTATTCCTTAAGAATAGTAATTACTTTAGTTGTGACGCTTAAGCTCAGTTTTTGACTCTTGTATAAGCACCTTAAATTGTATGATCTTAACTTTGCTTAACAACTTTGATTAGAGTGTCTTGATGAGTCCGATATTGAGTGAGTCTTGTGCCATGTGTGTGATATTTTGCGTATTCTGTGCATTACATTTGATGTCTAGAACTTGCCCCGTATGTTTGCAAAGCGAAATAGTAGTTTCATTCAGTCTCGGAAGTGATATAGACATTTTTTCGTTGAGCCAGTTATATGTTGTACCCACCTAATTGTTATGTATCTTAGTTAACCCCGTTGATCCTGGAATCATGTTTCTTTGGCAACCACACTGCAAGCCTTACCCATTTGTTTGAATTGACCATCTAATCGAATCATTTACCTCTCGCGAGCACTTGAAATTGTATGAACTTTGTAAAAGTTGAAGTGTGGGGTGGTTGGTTTGGTTTTTGAGTGGAATTATTGAACTAAGGAGAAATGTGCACTATTTTGAAAAAGAAAAAGCCACTTGAATTGAAAAAGAAAGAAACAAAATAAGTGTATGATTGAGAAAAAAAATCATTGATAGTGATAACTCTTAATGTATTTGTGCTTAAAGAAGTGGGGAGTTGACATATATTGATGTAAATGTGGAGTTATGGTTTGACATAGTATGGGGTTTTGAATGGTTAATTGTATGTATTAAAGTACGTAGGGAGGTGTAGTTAATATATTCAAACATATCCTACCCGTTCCGCAGCCTACATTACAACCAAATAAAGCCTTACTTGATCCTTGACTGAATGATCTCAATTAGTAGAGTAGTACATTACGGGCAAGATTATGGTACATCTTTTGTGGAATATGAATGTTGTTTCTGAGAGTGAGCTAATTATTCCTATCTTAAGTTCCTAATTGTTCTTAAACTTTATCGTTTGTGGAACTACTCTCTATTCTTGTGTGAGAGAACTTGATTCATGAAGGAAGGGTAATGTCATTGAGCTTTGTGTTAGAGTGAGCAAGTTGTGAAAAATGCGTGGTGCTCTTGAGTCAAATCTTGAGGCGAGGATGTTACGGTATTGTGCATAATTTGTTTTATTATTCTTGGTGTGATGAGTTAGGAGAGTTGTTTAAAAATATCATGTCTATGTGAAGTGTAGTTTTATTGCTCGAGGACTAGCAACGGTTTATATGTGGGGTGTTGATGGCAGGCTATAATCCCGTATTTTAGTCACTTATTGCACTCTAATTTACTGCACTTTACTTATGTTGAGCTTTAATTATGCATTTTTTGCACTTATTATATGTTTTATGTACTATAGGAGTGATTTCGAGCTATGTAGATGTTGTGGTATGAATTCATGCTATTTGGATCTTTGAAATTTAAGTAAAAGCCCAAGGGTTAAGTTGGGATCGTGTTCGGGGATCAACAGATGATAGTGGAATGAAATGAAGAATCGAGCAGGTATATTGTGCAGTGTCCAGTAAAATGCACATAACATTTCGCTCGGAACTCTATTTAGGCTCTAACATATATCGTTGGAAATTTATTTAAAAGGGCTTCAACTTTTATGTTTTACACTTTCCCAAATTCCTAACGTATACAACCCAGGTGCACAACCAAGTGCACGATCGCGTACTGGGCGCGCACTTGGGGCGGAATCGTGTGCAAAGTGCGTGACCAGGTGCGCGGTCGCGCATGTCCTGTCCGAGAAAAGCCCTATTTTTCTAAGAGAGGGTAGTTTCGTCCGGATTTTTTTTGGGGGCGGATTAAATACCCCAAAACACCATTTTTGAGGGGCTATTGGACATACCTTAGACCTAGGGAAGCTTAGGAGAAGAAGGAGAAGCAAGAGAACGAAGATTTCATCCTTCCTTCCTCACTCAAATCCGAGTTTGGATTGTATTTATATTTTTCTCTATTTTTGTTTCATTTGTGAAGAACTCCTCTATATCTATGGAGTAGAGCCATTTGGGTTTTGATGGATTTGGTGTATTGATGGTCGTTTGTGGATTATAACTCTATGTTTATGTATTTGAATCATTTTTGAAAGATTTAATTGTTGCATCTATATTCACTTGTTCTTGTAATCGAAAGAGGCATAACTTGTGATATATTTACACTATGTTGTTGGTTGAGTTCATAGATCTTCTAAGTAATCAAAAGAGGCTAGTTGAATCCTTGATTAAACCTAGTTAGGAGGATAATCGAAAGAGGTTCTCCTAAAGACCAATCCATTACGAATTCTTACATATCTTCATCGAGCTTAAATTGGTTTATATTTTGAGGTTGAAACTTAATCGAGAGAGTAGTTTCTACTAAACATTTGTACTGATAATTAAGTGAATTCGAGAGACTCACTTGAACATTAAAAGTGAATTATCTAGAGTTAGATCCCGAACAATTATCTTGCACTTATCCTATCAACCCATATTTTCTCCCATTGATAACTTCCTTGCTTACCTTTGTTGAGATTGTCATTAGTCAATACTTTAGGTTCTTATTTAGTTTCAATTCTTAATTATATAAATCTTCATTGTTGATCCTCCTGGATAGCAATCTAGCTACAAACTAAGATAATACTATTTAAATCCAATCCCTGTGGATACGATAATTATACTATATTATCTTTGACTAGCGAGCTTAATTTAAGTATGTGCTTTGCGCTCGTCACTCCTCTACCATTCCAATAGGCATAGCCTCTCCTTCTGCATTCAACTCTATTATTTCTTCCTCCTGTTCAATACTTCCAGACAGTGTGTTTAGTTATCTATTCTTGCACACATGACCTGGAAAGTATTTTCCCCCACATTTTAACATTCACCCATTGCCTTCCTAGCTGCAAACAATTTAGTCTCTGACATAGTTGTATTAGTACCTTCTTTTTGTAAGTTTCCCAAGGATTTGTTCCCTGATGGTAGATTAGACCCTTTGTACTGCCCTACACTCCTGACTCCATTGAATCTACTCTTCTTGGCCATGGTATCAATCAAGTTCTCCTCGTGCCTAGCCTTCTCCACAGCATGGCTTAAGGAATAAGGGTCAAACATATTCACAGTGCGTCTAATTTCCTCTTTTAAGCCTTCAATGAAAAAACCTAGGAAAAATTTCTCAGGTATAGTTGGGTATTTTATCAACACCCAGGCCTTCAAATCTTCAAACTTCTTAAGATATTCATTGGCAGTCCCCTTTTGTTTCACCTTTTTGAATTCCCCCAACAACTCCAGGTTACTATTATCAGATTCATTGAATCTTTTGCAGATTTCTTCAATAAAATCTGACCACCTCAAAATTCCTCTACTCAATTGATAGAAAAAGTACCAAGACTCAGCCCTCCCATTTAAATGAAGCACAACTGATTCTGATTTGTGTTGTGGGTCTGTAATATGATTGTAATAGAAATACCTTTCATATTTGTGTAGCCATGATCGAGGATCTCCTTCCTCAAAAGTAAGGGAACTCCACTCTATAAGTAAAGTTGCTCGCTAAATTTCTCCCAGTGTGCTGCCCATGTGGGTCTGCCATTCTCTGCTTCCAAAACCTTCCAAGTGAAGACTTTCAGTTGGTGCGCTCCCTAGAATGCCATCCATGTAGGCGGAGATCTTCTCCATCATCACATCAAATTTTTGATTCAGATCATCCATTTTCGAGTCATCAGACTCCAATTTTTTGTTTGTTTCAGTCATGTAGTTCTGTAACTGATTTTTCAATTTCTTGACATTTTCTATAGTGGTTTTAGCTCGAGTTTCTGTAATCATTATGGCGCCAGGAGAATGCTCTGGTACCAAATTGTTATGGCTTGAATCAATTAAGCAATTAATCAAACAATTAGGAGAATCAAAAATGAAAACTGGAACTCTTTATTCAATATCAATGGAAAGTATTCACCATTATTACTTGTAGTCACTAAAAATGAAGAATGAGAATTAGGAGAATTGGAGAAGAAGAAGAAGAATCTAGAAGAAGAGAGAAGAGAGAAAGTGGTTAGAAACGTAACAATATTAACAAAATAATTGCCTCCCTTTCACTACCTAACTCTTAGTATTTATTCACATTAAGCTTGGGCTGAATAAGTGGCTTAATATTAGGCTTCCCGCTTTGGCCCAATTCCCTGTCCGTCCCACGTGGTCCAGTCCACTCTTTTATTAATCTCTACTCTTACTTACCACCGATCACTTTTCTATTTCAACCTACTTTTCCAATTCATAACATAGTAACATGTGCAATTAAACTTTATGAGTTCTGATTCACAATTTTGTCACATTAATGGGTTCAAAAAGTTATTATTTATACTTATTTAATGATTTATTTTGATAAAAATACAATGTATGAGCTAAATATATGAGTTAAAGATGAATCCATAGTCTCCCGGAACATGTGACTACTCAACTAAGAATCCTACGTCAACTCAAATGGCCAAATCCAACGGCTGAAAATGAACCTCGATTGAGCATATTTGTGGTTGAGCTGAGCTCCTCCTCAAACACTCAACTGTTACTAACTATTCTTTCCTTTGTCTTTGCTATCAATTCCAACTGAGAATAGGGAAAAGAAAATAATGATAGTACTACTGCTTTGACATGAGAGTGAATTGCTCTGGTGGTGAGTATCCTCCACTTTCAATCAAGAGGTTGTGAGTTCGAGTCATCCCAAGAGCAAAATATGGAGTTTTTGGGGGCAGAGAGCCGAGAGTTTATCGGAAATAACCTCTTTATCCCAGGGTAGGGGTAAGGTCTGCGTACACACTACCCTACTCGGACCTACTAGTGGAATTATACTGGATCACACTACCATCATCATACCTACTAATGAAAATATACTGGATTGTTGTTGTTGTATTTAAAAGGTTGCACTCTTTGGCCGTTATTCTTTTACACTTTTTAATTTCTTTTTCTATTATTCTGCTTATCCCAAGGCTCCAAAGATCCACATCACAATTATCTGGATTCATAGCACTAATCGCAATGTGAATGCCTTATTATCAAGGACAAATAATCAACTTTTATGAGGACATAATGAAGGTTCCTGCCCTTTAATCTTGTGCGTTTGTTTTAGCCGGCAATATTAGTGCAAGGTTTAGCTGTAAACTAATTTGGGATTTCTTTTAAATCTGCTACTAAGCTGTAGCACATAGCTTGGAGAAGTAGTAGTTATACATTAATTAGAGAGTAAACAGAAACCCCATATATATTTCCTTCTCTACTTCAACTAACAATAATAACATATTCAGTGTATTCAAAAGTGTGATTTGAGGAGGATAATATATACGCAAATCTTAACCCTACTTTGTAAAGGTAGAAAAACTGTTTCCGATAGACTCTCGGCTCAAATATTTCAGACTCTACTTAAACAAAATAAACAATGAGCATTAATTTATTGAGACGATCAAACATGTGCTTACACATTATTTTGTGCCTAATTTTGCTTTGTGAAGTCTACATTGTTGGTATTATTTATACTTAGTAATGCACAGTCAAAAATTCCTTTATGGTCCCTTGTCTCTTCTCTACTTTTTTATCTTTTATGAAAAACGAAGTGTTCCTCATCGATGGTGAAAGCTTCTTTCCTCTTTGCTAATATTAAATTTTTGGTTTAAGTTGTGTGCACAGATATTTTAATGATTTTTATACAATCATTGAATTTTTAACCTACTATTGCAGGTTCATTATCAATTTTAGCAGATTATAATTTAATGCTTATAAAAAAGTATACCAATAATTATCTTAAAGTGACTTGATTGTGTAATTATATTCATCAATAAACTAAACTCTTATTATAACTTCTTTCGTATCAAGAAAATATTTAGATGAAAATGAAATTATTAGGTCCCACATTTCACTTTCTTATGACTTTTTCTATTGTATTAAATGCACTGATTAGTATTAGAACATGCTCAAACATTAAGATAGACTGTTCTCAAAAATATTCCCTCATTTTTCCTTTAGTTAAGATGCTAGATGGCTGGGATGAGAAAGCTGCTCAACCACTTCTTCTTAAGGGTTACAACAAACCAATTGGTATCAAGTGCATCTCCTATGCTTGCACATCTTGACATATCCTTGCAATGTTAATTTTGAAAAGAATATAAGATATATGTGCTGATCGTATAAAAAATTGTATAGAACCAATATAGTTTACTCTACTATAGCATATTAGGGAGTTTTATTTTATGAGGTTACTAGTTAACATTTATTGTAGAATTTTACTCATATTTATATTATAGATAATCTGATTATATAAATATTTTTATGCTGTCAGTACATAAAATTTATACTCAACTGACATCTCACCATGTGGTTCAATTTAATTCCAGTACTACTTTGACTAGCACTAATGGACCACAAATTAGGTCATCTACGTCCACATTTTTTTGAAAATTTTCAGGTAAATCCGTCTTCAGGTAAATGGCGCTTAACATTTTACTCGCTAGGCAAGTCAACGTTAAAGTTATTCTTTTTTGCATTTTAAACACTTCGAACAATTTAACCAATTAGACAGAAATAAAACTACAATAAAGTACGAAGTAGCATAATGACCCAATTATCTAAGTACAACCCGGATCTGGAATCACAAATACACGAGCTTCTAGAGGTTCTACAAATAGAGTTTGAAATAAGTACAACTGTCTCAAATGAAATGAACAGTAGATAAGGAAAGAGGAAGGGACTTCAAGGTCTGTGGACGCCAGCAGATCTACCTTGAGTCTCCAAATAAGCTAATCCGAGCTGATGCTCCTCACGGACAATTGAGACCAGTATCAAAATCTGCACAAGAAGTGCAGAGTATAGTATGAGTACAACCGACCCAATGTACTCCGTAAGTGTCGAGCCTAGCCTCGACGAGATAGTGACGAGGTTATGACAGGACACCCACATGATTAAACCTGTGCAAACTAAAATATACATACA